CTTCTTTGTGGTCGGTGTTTCTTGGGATGACACTTGTTGTGTTGCGGATTGCGAGAACTCGATGGGATGACCTTCTTCTCCGACTTCTGTATAGAACGGTGAGTATAAGGTCGATCCTTCACCGGTAAGGAGTTGTGAATAATAGTTTTGTGAGGGATACATGAAATTTGTAATTTGATAGGGATATATAGAGTTTTTTTATGAGAGAGTTGTGTGGAATGATTTGATTAGTGAATTGTGAATTTATAGAGGTTTTTTTACTGTTCAACGATCATTTTTTAATGGCAGTATTTTTAACAGCATATTTTCACTCAACGGCATTATTTTCCAGCAACGGTCATTATTTTTATGGAATCTTGTGCATCAAAATCAAAACTCTGTCGCCCCAAATCAAAACTCCGTCGCCCCAAATCATCTCCCCAACAGGAAGAACCCTTCTTCTTCGTTTCCCCAACTCTTCAACTCCATCATCTCCATCAAATCTTCGTCTAGGCCCAAAATCCAGTCCAGGCCCAAAATCCAGTCCTCAAATCTTCCTCGTCAAAAATCCGAGCGCCCCCGTCGAATCTTCGTCATCTTCGCCCCAACCAAGCGCCCCTGTCGAATCAAGCTCTCTCCCGCAACCTCCGCCGCCTCCGATCGGAGAGGGTTCAACTCAAGCCCTCTCCGCCCCGTCGAATCAAGCCCTCTCCGCCCCAACCGCACACTAAAGGTTTGATTTTTGGCTTCAATTTTGGGCAGATTTCAAAGGCTGACATGGCCGTGGAAGTTGGCAGCCCCCCCTCCAGCAAGCTCTGAACCCCTCCCAAGCCCCTCTCCTAAGGCTTGTTAAAATCTTTACCAGTTGGGAGCTCCCAAGCGCTCCACAAATTTGTGGAGCGCTTGGGAGCTCGGAAGCTCCCCAAGGCCACGTCAGCCTTAGGAGAGGGGCTTGGGAGGGGTTCAGAGCTTGCTGGAGGGAGGGCTGCCAACTTCCACGGCCACGTCAGCCTTGAGAGCCTCTTTCAGAGCTTGCTGCCCTTGCTCTAAGACAAAATGATATTATTTGTTAGTAAATCATTTCACAAAGTATTAAGTAACATTATGATATACGATAGATGTTTATTAATCATAAAAAAAATATTACTAATAAAATAATATTACGCAATGAATATGCTGTATTATAAAACATAAGGCAAAGAACTTTCTAATCAAGATATATAAGCTTCGGCAAATCTAGGTTAAATTATACTAGGAGTCTAGGAAGTGTTCATCATCACAAATTTTACGGTCCTATTTATCACTTTCTACTTTCAAACAATCACAAAAAAATCAGCTTCAAAGTTGCGTTAATTAACATGTTCTTTTTGTTGTAATATACTAAAGAAATGAAACGAAAAATGGACAAGAGAAAAGAGAATAAGATAAATTGTAATTTTCATTTCATATCCTTTTTTCCATACATCCACCAATTTATAGATACATTGTGGAAAACAAAAAGACATTGGACTAATGAAAAGTCACCAATAAATATTCCACATTAATAAAGTAATGTCCACATTCATTTTGTCTTTTAGGTTTCCACAAAATGACTTTTGGATTTCAACACTCCCCCTTGGACATTACTTCGAGATGTCAATGCCTCATTAAAAACCTAGCTAGAAAAACCCAGTGGGATAAAAACTAGTCGAGGAAAAGAGTACACGACATTAGTAGATTCTTGTTGTATTAGTTGTCTCATTAAAAACCTTTAACTAAGAAAACCATATGGGACAAAACTTAGTAAAGGGAAAAAGAGTACAACTATAGATATTCGGGATCCAAACTTGTGTTGCATTAGTTGCCTCATTAAAAACCTTTAGCTAAGAAAACCCTGTGGGACAAAACTTAGCAAAAGGAAAAAAGGAGTACAACTATAGTCCTTCAAGGCACAATCTTCGGGATTGCGTTGAAAATTCGCTCCCCCTGATGATGACAATCTTCTGAGTCTATGCTAAGAAAAAACCCAGTGGGACAAAACTTAGCGAAAAAGGGGCAAATTATGATAATAGACCTTCAGGGCCCAATCTTCAGGATTGTTCTTTAAGAATTTGCTCCCCCTGAAGAAGATAGTCTTTTGAGCCTATGCATATTGTGAACATATTTCTCATAAGTTGACGTAGGCATAGATTTAGTGAACAAATCTGCAAGATTGTCACTTGAGCGAACTTTTTTGATGGTGATTTCACCATTCTTTTGGAGCTCATGTGGATAAAAGAATTTTGGCGTAATATATTTTGTCATGGTTCCTTTTACATATCCACTGCTCATTTGTGCAACACAAGCTGCATTGTCCTCATAAAGGACAGCGGGGGAAATATCATCTTTCGCTAGACCACACGAACCACAAATATATCATATCAACGATCTTAATCATACACATTCTCGTGAGGTCTCATATAAAGCGATAATCTCTGAGTGGTTAGAAGAAGTAGTCACCATGGTCTGCTTGACAGACCTCCAAGAAATGGCAGTACCACCACAGAGAAATACATAACCAGTCTGGGATCTGGCGTTATGGGGATCAGACATGTAGCCAGCATCCGAATAGCCCACCAATGTCATATCTTGGTTTCTTTTATAGAATAGTCCAAGATCTTTTGTTCCTTGAAGATAACGAAGGATATGTTTAACACCATTCCAATGCCTCCTTGTAGGAGAAGCACTATACCTTGCTAGCAAGTTCACCGCAAATGCAATATCAGGCCTGGTGCAATTTGCGAGATAAAGAAGTGCTCCAATGGTGCTCAGATAGGGAACTTCTGGCCCTAACATTTCTTCATTATCTTCTTTGGGTTTAAATGGGTCTTTATCCACTTCGAGGGATCGGATGACCATTGGTGTGCTAAGTGGATGGGATTTATCCATATAAAATCTTTCCAAAACCTTTTTCACATAGGTTGACTGGTGTAGAAAAATTCCTTCTGGGAAAATGCTCGATCTGCAGGCCGAGACAAAACTTGGTTTTTCCCAAGTCTTTCATTTCAAACTCCGTCTTTAGGCATGAGCTAGCTTCTGTAAGCTCCTTGTGTGTTCCAATAATATTTATATCATCAACATAAACTGAGATGATACAGAAGCCATTTTCGGATTTCTTTATAAACACACAAGGGCATAAGTCGTTATTTACATATCCCCTCTTCAGGAGGAAATCACTCAGTCGATTATACCACATCCTACCCGACTGTTTTAAGCCGTATAATGACCTTTGCAATTTAATACTATACATGTTGCAATTTTCATTTTCACTCAATTTAGGGATTTTAAGTCCATCTGGGACTTTCATATAAAAATATTAACATCTAATGATACATATAAAAATATGGTCATGACGTACATATACTGCATATATAAATTCATAGTTTCTGCCATAGGTATTAACTTGCGGAACATAATACAATCACTAATAGGAGAATATTTTACATCTAAATCGATGTCGGGTCTCTACGTGAACCCATTGAGCTATGAGTCTCGCTTTATATCTCACCACCTTACTATTCTCATTTATTTTTCTTACGAAGACCCGTTTATATCCTGCAGGGATATATGGACTACAGATTCAAAATACTTTAGCGAGTTCAGCTCAGCCTCAATTGCTACTTTCTGGATCCAGATTAATTTCGGAGATAGTAAGAGCAACTGTAGAGGCAACTATGTTGTCGACAACTTTCATATTTCTATTATATATTTCTCCTTTTTCACAAATTCGTGGCCACTTTAATTCTTATTTTATGTTAACCAAATCCTCGCCCCCTTAACGTTTGGATTTGGCTGTTCCGCATCTCCAGTATTGTGATTATCTAGTGCACGTGCAATTTACTGGAGATTCCATCTTCAGGATGAACCTCTTCTGGAGGTTATGGGAGTGACTGTCTTTCTATATATATAATTTAGTTTGCCGCGGACTTTTATCTTTTACACTAACATGTTTTATATGCTTCTGGCACAATATGCTTCTGGCATACCAAATCATCAATGATATATTCAACATGAATATGGGGCTTAGTCACTCTTTTCTTAGCAGATTATCATGTGAACTTCTGGTTCAGTTTGACTAGTACGTGGATATAAATATTGAAGATCTTTTTCACCAATGGAATTTCTTGACATTATTTTGTATTTTGGGCACTAATCTCCCCCTAATGTCGAGAATTGATCTTCAATAATAATGCAGTCAGCGTACTAAATTGTAAATTGATCCCCTAACATGGGCCATAGGTACTAAATTATTGACGGAGTTTCATAAATAATATATGTACCTTCACCGAGGTCCCATAGAGGTACGCTATGGTGGTGATATAGAAACATGGACTGCAAATAAAGAACACGCAGATGGGAAATGTTTCGCTTCTTCACCACATATAAATGTTTTGCTTCTACACCACGTATTAGATAAAGGGGAAAAATTGTGATATGCAGTTGGTCGGATTTGGTTTGAATGCCCCATTTAATTTAAGAAAATCCGACGGATCAAATTTTGCCCAAGATGACCCAATCGCTCATGCCAGAGTTTAAAAGAATTTGGGTCCCTAAATCTTAAATTCATCGCAACATGTTGTATTTTAGGTCAGACAAATTCTAAAATATACACATATGAATAAAAACCACATAGGCTTATAAGAGTTTAAAGCAAAAATCAAGATAAATTAAAATTGTCTGACAAATGCATATAATCCAAATATAGAAAAAACAAATAGTTTACCTTGACCACCTCAATAAGATCTACTACCTCCCCCTCGTCCGAGCTTATGAATATTAATTTGAATTATGACATGTGCTTCAGGCACTACGACTGAACCAATTAAACTTGCATTATGGTTTCTCACAACAGCTGGTTGTGTTTTTAACAACTACTAATACAAGGATTAGTTCATAATGCTTTTAGTTGTACTATTGTAAGAGTACAAGGTTACTTGTTGAATTGTATTCAGTCGAGGGTTTAAAATCCAAAAATGGCTACAGGATAAGATCTCCTATTATGTTCATAGCCTCCCCCTATGAGTATTACTCTGATTTGTGGCATGTGCTTCAGGCACAGCTAGCGAACCAACTGGTCTAGCATTATGGTTGCGCATCAGAAGTTGGTTGTGTTTCTCTGCAACTAGTAACGCAGAGATCAATTCAGAGTGTTTTGAATAGTTTTTGGTCCTGTACTGCTGCTGGAGTACAAGATTACTTGCATGGAATGTAGAGAGGGTCTTTTCAATCAATTCAGCCTCTGTAATGTTCTGCTTACAGAGCTTCAGCTGTGAGACAATGCGGTGGAGGGTTGAATTGTATTCAGTTACGGATTTAAAATCCTGAAATCGCAAGTTTAACCAATCATACTGTGCTTGCGGAAGCATAATAGCCGTCTGTTGGTCAAAGCGATCCTTCAGGGATTGCCATAGAACAGCAGGATCTTTTTCAGTAAGGTACTCATTTTTCAGGTCTTTGTTGAGATGATGACGAAGAAAAATCAATGCCTTTGCCTTCTGGGCAGAGGTGCTCTGAGAAGCTGGAGCAATAGTGTTGCTTAAATCACAAGAATTCAGGTAGATTTCAACATCTAAAGCCCAAGTCAAGTAATTGCTGCCATCAACGGCAAGCTCAGCAAATTCCCTTTTGATGATGTCAGACATTGTTCAGAAATGCTATAATTATCAAAAAAAGATATATCAATCCACCAAATTTATAAAATATTGCACTATACAAAGTGTGCATACAAATAGAAGTGAATAAACAAATCATTAGTTACAATGCATGCCGCTTCATTTTTGCTAAAGCCGAATATTCATTCACTTTACAGAATTTACTATAGAGTTCAAAAAGCTTGCTGTGATTGTGCATAAGATTGTGTAACGTACTCGTTTAAATAAAGCTACATCATACTTAATACATATCTTATGTCGTTAATAGTAGTGCACGTTGACAGAGTTTAGATAGTGCTCAACATTAATAGACAGAATTTAGATAGTGCTCAACATTAATGTACTATGTAGTAGTTTATTTCAATTACTTGACTGCGCATTACTCATATCATAGTTTTGTTTGTTAAGAAAATTAATGTGTTACATATGTGCGTGAATGTGGTTCTACCTTTCTACATGGAGTGAATAGTCCCCAGTGACTGGATATATTACATGGTATCCTCCTTGAGGAGATAGGAGGCTTAATGCCAGATTTAATTATGAAGCAAACGGCTTTGTTGAAGTGAAAAGAAAAAAATAATTTAAGAATGTATATCAAGTAAACCAACCAATCTCCAGTGATTAATATGCAATATCATGACCATCAAGTGTGGAATGTGATTCAGAATATAAGTATCATGTACTGCACTGTCCAGGAAAACAAGAATAAAAGGCCAAAATGAATTAATTTCATAAAAGCATAATTTAAAAAAATGGAGATCATGACACTGGGAGCTTTTATAGCAATGGAAATCATTGCTCCACTCTTGAAGGTTTAGACATTATGTCTCTCAAGTTATACTATATTTGTAAACAATTAAATAACTGAATTACCAAAAAATTAATATTGTGTATCTCTGTTCCATACATTTTTACAATCATTGTAGTATATTATCCATATAACAGTCTTCCATTTCACCTTGTTGTAATATGAAATTTAAGTACTATCATATTGATTAAAGATACTAAAGTTTTCAAAATACATCATACTACAGATTTCAACATCAAATAAACATAGTCAATATATCATCATCACATGGTTCCAAAGTAAATTGCATAACATACTGTTATAGAGGCATAATCGATAACGAAAACATAAAACTTTGTAAATAGACAAAGGTCAAATGTATTATTACCTTGCAGAAGATATATATTAAAAAATCTATTACCACGAACCGATGATCACGAACCAGCTAGAGCCACTCGTGCTGATAACGTGTTGTAATATACTAAAGAAATGAAACGAAAAATGGACAAGAGACAAGAGAATAAGATAAATTGTAATTTTCATTTCATATCCTTTTTTCCATACATCCACCAATTTATAGATACATTGTGGAAAACAAAAAGACATTGGACTAATGAAAAGTCACCAATAAATATTCCACATTAATAAAGTAATGTCCACATTCATTTTGTCTTTTAGGTTTCCACAAAATGACTTTTGGATTTCAACACTTTTGATATTTTCAAACGGAGGCCCCAATATTTCTCGGATTCCAAATTTGGCTTACATTAATCATTTATTTACATGAATGACTTAAAGTTTATGTTAATTTCCTCCGTCTTTTCCCTTTTAACAATTTAAATTTACATTAGCTATTCAAATATACAATCTTGTTCTTGGATATTCATTTACACGGGAAGATAGAAAGTACTCCTAAACATGTACGGTAAAAAATGACTTATCTTATTAAATAAACTATTAAAAGATACGGAGATAAGATCCACTGATGATGAGCGGACCCATAAGTTGACTATTTTTTCGTAGCTCATTTAGCAAAATGAGCTGCTAACTCATACCCCTTAGTTCCATATACTATTTATTACCTATGGCTTATTAAGCTAATGTGGACATAGGATGGTTGTAGCCAAAAAATAAAATAAAAATAAAAATAAAAATAAGAAGATAATTATGGGAGGCCTTTGGATGAACCCCAAATTCTAATAAGTAATCCAAGATGAGATATGGGGCAAGGTCTACAAATTAAGCAAGAGTGCCGGCACGCTTATGCGCATCCCAAAATCTAACTACCAAAATCTCAATTGCCACAACACAGGCTATAGGCCTACAGGGATGCATGTTCAACCTCTACAAAAGCAGGGGGTCTTTGCAGCATGCTAAAATATCATCGTATATTTCTGCAGCTTACTGATTTTACAGGACAGCCACATTGTGGATATAGTAAACAACCGAGCAGTAATTACTTCTAGACATCAGAGTCTTAATAACGCTAATAAAGCAACTCTAGAGATAATAAACAACCGACCCAAATTAATACAGGGTGTGCATTTATAATTAACGCTAGATATATGTAATGCAACCCCCAATAGGATTTTATACGGGCTAAAGTTACCTGCAACACCTTTCAAACCAAAACACAAAGAAACTTCAAAGTTTCGGGGCCGGCCACATTAAAATATCAAATAGGACAAGCCAACAATTCCAGCCCACCCACAGCTCTGCACTATGCATTACTATTCGCGCGATCTCGTGGACCATGTGAAAAAGCGACGAGTCGGTGATCAAAACGCGCAAAAAAGCTACGGAGCTGAAACCCCACTTCCCTCAACCGAAGCGAGCTGGCCACCAAAGAAACCGTGCCCCTCCGCTTTACTGCCACTCGCTTTCCCCAGATTTAAAGACGAACCGCGTCCGCGTCGTACCTGAGATAGCTGTATCAAGCCAATTGCCAGCCCTCAACTGAAGCATCCTACACACTTCCCTCTCTTCAACGTTCCCCCAAATCCGCATAGCTATAAAAAGACCGGCTTTGCTCCTCATTCTCTCAACCTCACTTCCATAATCAAAATCTCCCTCCAAACATTCTCCTCCTCTTCTTGCTTTTACTATTAACTCCAGCTGCTATGGCGTCATTGCTGTTTGCTGTACTAGCATTGTCTTCCGTAGGCATCGCCGTTGCTGGCAACTTCAACGACGACTTCAAGATAACTTGGGGCGATGGCCGCGGGAAAATAGTCGACAACGGACAACTCCTCAGCCTGTCTCTCGATAAGGCCTCGGGCTCGGGCTTCGAGTCTACGCACGAGTATCTATTTGGCAAGATCGATATGCAGCTCAAGCTGGTCCCTGGAAATTCTGCCGGCACCGTTACTGCTTATTATGTGAGTTTTCTCGACCCATCGAATTCTAGGATTTAAGATACCTGATCAGCTGCATCTGCTTACTCATAGGCTAATTAATGGTCACGTATGCTTGCAGCTTTCATCACAAGGGCCTACCCATGATGAGATCGACTTCGAGTTCCTCGGAAATCTCAGCGGAGACCCGTACACATTGCACACTAACGTGTTCACTCAAGGGAAAGGCAACAGGGAGCAGCAGTTTCATCTGTGGTTCGATCCCACAAAGGATTTCCACACCTATTCCATCCTCTGGAACCCATCACACATAATGTAAGCAATTATGACCGCTAAAACTCTGTTGTATGTAGGTAGGTAATAAGAGATCAATTGCTCACCGTAGATTCATATTTTCGGTTTCAGTTTCTCGGTTGATGGCATCCCGATCAGGGACTTCAAGAATATGGAATCAAGAGGCGTCGCCTTTCCAAAGAGCCAGCAGAGACTTCAAGAATATGGAACCAAGGGGAGTCGCCTTTCCTAAGAACCAGCCCATGAAAATCTACTCTAGCCTCTGGAATGCTGATGACTGGGCTACAAGGGGAGGACTAATTAAGACTGATTGGACTAAAGCTCCGTTCACTGCATCGTATAGAAACTTCAACGCCAATGCTTGTGTTTGGTCTGCTGGTACCTCCACCTGTTCTTCAAAGAAATCTCCAAGTGCGTCACCAAGCAATGCATGGTTGAATGAAGAGCTGGATTCAACAAGGCAAGAGAGGATGAGATGGGTGCAGAAGAATTACATGATCTACAACTATTGCGCTGACTTGAAGAGGTTTCCCCAGGGCCTGCCGCCAGAATGCTCTATAGCTTAAAATTTTAAATTTGGGATTGTAAAAGAAGGAAACCAAACTCGCGTACAGTAATTAGTTGATTCTTTTATTTGTTTACCTATTATATAATCTGATACTTTTAGTCCCATTGCTTGCACTGGTGTGATACATGAATTTTGGTGGTTAAGACTAGGCTCTTGTTGGTGTTTTTTAAGAAATAAATGAAACTTCTTTTATATCCTATGCACATACTCTTGCATGATTAGGTGTGTGTAGTATCTCTATCTGCATTAAAACACAACCAAAAATGATAAAACTCTTGATTCTAACTCAATATTATCCAAGCCACTTAACAAAATAATACACTATAATTTACAAGTTTTATCATTTTTTTAATAGAGCCAGAAAAGATCTCTATATGTGAAGTGTCTGATAAATGTTCAAATCATTATCGGCAAGAACCCAACCCCCTCCCCCCAACCCCCCCAAAAAAAAAAAGAAAAGAAAAAAAAAAGATATGAACAATATTTTAAGATTAATTTTTTTTTTACTTTAATTTGAATAGCAAGCAAAGGGGGAAATTTTTTGCTACAGCGCAATTAAGTTTAGTATAGCATAAACAGTATTTAAGTTTCAAAATTGTGTTTTTGCTCTCAAGTCAAAAAAGTATTAGATGTTATTGTATCGTTCTACAACACATTGATATCACGAGATAACCACATTATGAGTATAAACAATTGAGAAGCACTTACTTCTAGACAAGAGAGTCTTGGGGGGTGTTTGGCTACTCCTCACTAACACGGTTAAAATCTTAACTAGGTTAGTTGTAAACCAAGTAGGGGATGGTTTAATCCTAACCTAGATAAGAGCCTAAATTGTGAACTAAGAAAAACCAAGTTTAGAGTTGGCCCAAATTTATCCAAACAACAATTCAACCCTTTAAGTAGATAAACTCCACCAACTTGGATGGTGGGAGAGTTGCCAAACACCGCATAATAACGATAATAAAGCAAGTTTAGAGATAATAAACAGCTCACCCTAATTAATACGGATTAGTATCCTCTTCACTACAAAAAAATAGTGGAGGGACCACTACATAATCACAACCATTGATTATCTAGTTGATGGTTGTGATTTTTTTAGTGCAAATTAGGAATGAGTGCGATACACGGGGGTATGGTAAATGTTAAATTTAGATTGTATCATAACCGTCTACTAAATAATCAACAATTGAGATTAAAAGTAGCGGTCTCTCCACTACTTTTTTGTAGTGGAGAGGATCCAAATCCAATTAATACATGGTGTATTTATAGTTAACGCTAGATATATATAATGCACCTCGAATAAGTTTTATATGAGCCCAGGTTATCCGCAGTCGTGCTTAACTTTCAAACCAAAACATAAGAAACTTTCAGGGCCTGGTTGAAATATCAAGCAGGACAAGCCAATTCCATCCCATCAACAGCTCCGCACTTTACATTACTATTTGTGCGATCTCGTGGACGATGTAAAAAGCAGCAGTCGGTGATCAAAACGATGCAAAAGCTACAAAATTGAGAATCCTCTTCGAACTGAACATGTCGAGATATATGAACTCGACGAGATGCGGGATCATAACAACGATAACCTCGATGTTCCGAACTAATTCCTAAATAGACACAGAGAACAACTCTAGGAGACAATTTATCACGTTTGTGAGATGGCAGAAGAACGAAACATCGATAACCAAAAACACGGACTAGATCATAACGGGAAGGATGAGTATAAACACGACTGTGAGGAGTAGCACCGGAAAGAGAGATAGATGGAGTGATATTAATGACATGAGTAGCAGTGAGAATGGTCTCAGCCCAGAAACGACGAGGAACAGAGTAAGAAATGAGCATGGATCAAGTAGTATCGAGAATATGACGATGTTTACGTTCTGCAATACCATTTTGCTCATGAGTGTAAGGACATGACTGTTAAAAGATAGTCCCATGAGAGGACATGATAGAGCGCATGGTAGAGGATAGGTACTCTTTGGCACAGTCAGAACGAAAAACTTTAATACGAGCTTGCCATTGAGTGAAGATCATCGCAGTGAAGGCTTGATAAGCAGCAAGTACGTCAGAGCGAGTTTTAAGTAGGTAGACCCATGTATAACGAGAGAAATCATCGATAAAACTAACATAATATAAGTAGCCAGATGAAGAAGACAGAGGAGCTGACCCTCAGATATTAGAATGAACCAAATCAAATAAGGAAGTGAAAACAGATGTACTGGTTGAAAACGGTAGAACAGCGAATTTAGCCAATTTACAACCAGTACATGACTCAATATGAGAACGAGAGGATACGGGACCAAATACTCCGGACTGGATAAGACTTTTAGCCTTTTATGAGACACATGACCAAGTCGTCTATGCCACAAATCTGCAGAAAGTAAGGTAGAGGATTTTAGACTTACAGAAGCAACAAGAGAACATGGACGTATGGACTCTGGAAGGTGAAGATATTCCAGAAAATACAGTTTGTGTCTCCTCCGATTGGTCCCAACAGTCTTGCCCGTCTGTAGATCCTGCACAATACAACTATTAGAAGAAAATGAGACAAGTAAGCCATCCATACATAAGGAGCTAACAGAAATTAAATTCAAACATAATTGAGGAGCCACATAGACGGGGTCAAGAGTTATACGACCAGATGAGTCAGTTTGTGGGGTGATAGAACCATACTGAGTGATAGACAAAGGTTGTCCAGCAGCCGTGTAGATAGGGGGAAGAGAAGAGGAAATGAAGACAGAAGATAAGAGGAAAGCATTACGAGTCATATGAAAGGAACAGCCAGAGTCAAAAATCCAGAGATTATTCATACCAGAGACCGAATGGTTGGCTGAAGAACCAGCAAGACGCATACCAGAGAGTTGTGCAGTAGATGTAGAGGCTCTATGCTGAAGAGCATCAATTTGATGGCGAATATCAGAGAGTTGTGCAGCAGATGGAGAGGTGGTATGCTGAAGAGCTGCAATTTGACGGCTAATATTTGCAGTAGCTTGAAGAACCTTAATTTGACGGCGAATATCAGAGAGTTTTACAGCAGATGGAGAGGTGGTATGCTGAAGATCCGTAATTTGACGGCTAATATCTACAATAGCTTGAATGATAGGGTCTGAAGTGGTAGATGACATAACATTGACCGGTAATTCTAGTGCACTAGAACATCAGGACTGAGGGGATCGCTGACTACGACCAGTTCTTGAGGAACATAACTCAGGATGAAGCTGAAAACATGTCTCAAAGCGGTATTCCTCCTTCTTGCAATAGGTGCAAAAGAGCTTAGACCGAGCCTGAGAAGCAAGTGCCAATGAAGAGGTCATAATAGCAACAATTCAAAGTTCAAGATAATAATCCTTGAACGAAATCGGCGACCAAGGTGGCCCGAAGATCGGCCGGATCTAATGCTCACGTCGGAGACCTACAACGGATTAATACCGATGTTGAGATGTTGAGACGTCGAGATGGATTGAGACGACGATGCCATTTGTTTGAGGCCGAGAGACGGCTTGAAAAGACGATGCCGTTAATTTGAGACCGAGAGATGGTCTTGAAAAAATGGTTATGTCGTAAATTTGAGATCAAGAGATGATCTTGAAACGGCAATGCCATTAAAATAGATCCCGAAGGTTTAAAATAGAACCCGAAGGTTAGAATGAAACCCGAAGGTTTAAAATATAACCCCGAAGATTAAAATGAAACCCGAAGGTTAAACGAGAACGCGAAATGTGTTAAGAAGCTGCAAAGCGGCAATGTCAGGAATGCAAAAAAAAAAAAGATGTTAAACGAATGCAAAGCAACAATGTTAAGATTTGGCTAAAAAATGCAGAAGTGTTAAAAAATTGTTTATTCCTAGCTCTGATACCATGTTAAAGTAAGAGAGAGAATCTTGGGTAAATTTTCCTTGAGTTGAATATTGAGCGTACACATATATTTATACAAGTAGAGGAGGTTGAGCTATGTTCTCACAACCAATGTAGGACTAAAACTCACTATAATACACTATATCAACACTCTCTAAGTGAATGGGTATGTTCCTGAAGCTACAAATTCTTTTTCAAATAATTCCAGATACACTTCCAAACTAGGAGAGTTTATTCTCACTGAACTCTAGACGACATGATTTCTTTCATTTGGTTGAGATATCTGAGGATCACATGAATATAAATTACTTTTTGTCGTCGATTTAAATCAAATTGCGCTTTTAATTGAGGGGGAAAAGTAACATTATCTGTGGTTCGGAGGTGTAATAATAAAATAAATTTGGGAATGCAGTTGGCTACACCATCACAGTACATGGGTTGTATCAGCATTTAATCCTTCCTTAATCACTGCAATTTGAGCTAGTAGTCTGCCTTATGGACTTTAACAGTGAGATTTACAGTGAATTTTTGGTGAACCACAAATCTACGGCAGCTTCATGGCTTAACCTGAGTCAGGCTTTTCTCAACAAATCCAGCTAGAATTGGTTGTAAAGTGTACGTGTGGGTCTGCATTGGGCTTGACAGGGTTAGGCTAGATTCCCATCAAGCCCCAGCTTACTTAAAAACAATGAAAAATGGCAAATAACCTATAATCATTTAAATTAGTTTATAGAACTTGTGGCAAGAGTTAATGGTACCTGGTGATTTAAGCTGAGTCGGTGAATCTAATCCATGCTTGACATCAGAAGGCATATAAAAATAGGCAATAAAGAAACCTGAGCTCAACTTTAGTGCCAATGGGCCAAACAAAACCACGTGATGCAGAAAGACCCGCGTCTTCTTAAGTAATTGCCACAGCTGTCACAAGACTGTTGCCAGCCTCCAACTTGAAGCATCCAATACACTTCCTAAAGCCACAACATTCATACTCTGCTCTGCTATAAGAAGACCACCATCTCCTCCCCTTTTCCTCACTCCTATCACAATTGTGCTTAATACATTCTCTTCATCTCCTCAGCATCTCTAATCTGTTAGGTCTTCCCTACTGAATTCAGCATGGCATCAGTCTTGTTTGCTCTACTAGCATGCTCTTTGATAGGCATTGCTTCTGCTGGCAACTTCAACGATGACTTCCACATCACTTGGGGTGATGGCCGGGGAAAGATCGTCAATAAGGGGCAGCTCCTTAGCCTATCTCTTGATAAGGCCTCAGGATCTGGCTTCGAATCTAAGCATGAGTATCTCTTTGGCAAGATTGATATGCAGCTGAAGCTAGTCCCTGGAAATTCTGCTGGCACTGTCACTGCTTATTATGTAAGTTATCAAGTCATGGAGTTCTCAGTTTGCAAATATTGATAAGGTGTATTGCTTAAATAGGACTAATGGTTATAAATGTTTGCAGCTTTCATCACAAGGGCCTACCCATGATGAGATCGACTTTGAATTCCTCGGAAATCTCAGCGGAGATCCATATACATTGCACACTAATGTGTTCACTCAAGGGAAAGGAAACAGAGAGCAGCAGTTTCATCTGTGGTTTGATCCCACAAAGGATTTTCACACCTACTCCATACTCTGGAATCCATCACACGTAATGTAAGCACTAAGCAATAATTTTTTCTGTGTATAGTTAGATAATAAGCATTCAAATTCTAACCATAGATTCAAAATTTCTGTTTCAGTTTCTCAGTTGATGGCATCCCGATCAGAGACTTCAAGAATATGGAACCAAGGGGAGTCGCCTTTCCTAAGAACCAGCCCATGAAAATCTACTCTAGCCTCTGGAATGCTGATGACTGGGCTACAAGGGGAGGACTAATTAAGACTGATTGGACTCAAGCTCCGTTCACTGCATCATATAGAAACTTCAATGCCAATGCTTGTGTTTGGTCCTTTGGTACCTCCACCTGCTCTTCAAAGAAATCTGCAAGTGCTTCACCAAGCAATGCATGGTTGAATGAAGAGTTGGATTCAACAAGGCAAGAGAGGATGAGATGGGTTCAGAAGAATTACATGATCTACAACTATTGCGCCGACTTGAAGAGGTTCCCTCAAGGCCCGCCGCCAGAGTGCTCTGTAGCTTAAAAATTTAAATTTGGGAGTGTAAAAGAAGGAAAAGAAAATCATGTATAGTAAATAGTAATTAGTTGATTCTTTTATTTATTTATGATATTATATTTATATTTTATACATACTTCACAAAGTGACAAATCCTCAACAACAACAACAACAACAAAAAGATGACTTTTACATTGTTCAGTCTGATTTCACATATAGATACTGTTGACGACTTAGAAATCTTAAGTGGGTCCATAAATGACTTAATATTAGATCACAATATGTACTGTGCAAGGAATCACTTTCCTACAATTCATTTTAGCTCTTTACGAACTGGTGCATAAGTTGATTCAGATCTCTTTAGCAAGGCTTGTTAGCTCAGACTCTATTTAAAGTAACCACAGATCTATTCAAAATCAAACAAAGAAGGTTGGTTTGTCTATACTTACAATCTTAATACTTTTTAGTTTGTCTATGATTTGTGCAGGTAATCCCCATAACAATGTTAATCCAAAATCCACATTTAGGATTTAAAATGTGCTGCCAATGCAAAATATGAACTTACACTGTCACAGGTGTTATCTATAAAGTGCAGAAACTTACTGTGGAGTTTTCTGCAATTGCAGAAACTTACTGTGGAGTTATCTGCAATTCCAATAGTTATTGGGAGTTCAGTGCAGTTTTAAAAGTTTTTGGGGCTTTACTACAATTTGCTGAAAGTTCTTGGGGTTTTCTGTAATTTAATCTTAAAATAACTAAGCTGAGTTGGTAAAACTAAAACAGAAATATTTTTATGTGTGAAAATTATTTAAAAAAAACTTGCTTATATGCTTGCTCTCCGTCCCCTTCTCCACACGCTATTCTTTATGATAATCACATACCCACCCCAACCTACATGCCCTCTAATTTGACGTGTAATGTACCAAATTAGCACTTTAATTTCAACAAATTAAGGTAATAAATCTATTTCCCAAAATAACATGTATAGTTCCCATTCCAAATCAAAAATTCATATGGGACTTCTGATTGCATTGGCATAAATTTAATCCAGTACATACAAAATCAGGAGGAAAGTACTAGAAAGCAATTATATAGGTTCCTAGTTAAATCAGAATTACATCTATTTATGGGAAAATTAAAATATTTAGCTTGTTAACTTACTAGAACTCATGATTGTGTGCCATGATTCAATTATTTTGCTTGGGCATATTCTTGAGCAACTAATTAGTATTTCACTCAGGTCGCACTTTGAAATATGAGAGAGAGGAGAATGCAAGTAAAATTGCTGACACACAGGAGAGTCTAGCTGATGAGTACATTGTTGAAGCTAACATTCTTTTAAAGTTAATTGCAGAAACACCTCGAAACTATATGGGTATAACCACATATATCCCGGAAACTATTTCATTAGCATTTATACTCACTGAAACCTAGACGATATTATTTCTCTAGTTTGGTGGAGACGTCATCTGAGAATCACACGACGATAAATACCTTTGGCTGCCTATCTAACTGCTAAAAACATGAACATTAAATTGAGGGAAGGTATCATTATCTGAGGTTCGAGGGTGCAAGTGATAATAAAATAAATTTGGAGATGTGGTGGTTATACCATCATAGTACATGAGTTTGTGTAATCATTTAACCCTACTTTTAGACACTGGAATTTGAGCCAGTGGTCAGCCTTATGGATTTTAACAGTGAGATTTACAGTTACATGTCTATCAGTTGAAAATCTACAATAGCTCCATGTTTAACCTGGGTTAGGCCTTTCCCTAAGTGTGTTTGACAACTTCAAAATAGAATCGGGCTAGACTAATTTTATTTTAATTAGGCCAAAGTTGAATCGTATAAGGTTAATTCATAAAAAAAACTAGTTTATGTTAAAATTCAGCAACTTCACATCTACCCCTCACCTACCTAACTATAATAACACCTACCATCAATAGCAATCACCTAACCCTAATAGTATTTACCTACCCCTAAACCAATGTTATTAATAAACCCCCAAAGTGTTTGTTTGAAATCATCCCAGTAACAGAGAGAGAGAGAGAGAGAGAGAGAAGAGAGAGAGAGAGAGAGTATTTGCATTTGAGAGTATAGTGTGTTTGTACCAAAAAAATAATAACAAAATATTTCTTGGTATCCAACACTCCTATCAACTCTACAAGTGGTATTAGAACCTAGCTTAGGGTGTGTGTATTTGTTTATCGTATGCTCTGTGACTGTCACCAAAGGTGGATTCTCCACATCAGAAAATAAGTCAGATTATCATTTACCCTTTGAAGGCACTGAGCACTATTTATGAGTATGATACTATTCATAAGTACGACAACTATTCACAAATATTATTACTGTTCACGTGAAATAGTTGAAGTTGCAGCTCATGTTAGAAGCAAGGCGGTCAGTGACCTGCTCTTTCCTACAGTGATCCTATCGGCATTCTTGAAGGTCGAAGTTCGTGTTCAGTCCGAGACTGTGAAGTTGGTTGGTCAAGGATCAGACTTGCGTGGAGATATTGAAGCAGTACCACGTCATGGTGATGGATTTGGCAAATACGACTGCTACACTCAAGAAACTCAAAGGTAATAACTATAACTACTGGGAGACGTGTATGAGGTCCTATTTACAAGGACAAGACCCGTGGGAGGTCATCGGGGGTGTTGAAACTACAACACCTTGGAAAACTAGCGAAACACTAGGAAAGTGGAACATCAAAGCCGACAAGGCTATGTATGTGCTGAAGACGACAGTAGAAGACGATCTCGTAAACTATATGCGAGATGCTAGAACTCCGAAGGAGGCATGAGATACGTTTGTGATACTCTTCTCGAAAAAGAACGATGCTCAACTTCAACTCCTAAAGAATAAATTGATAACCTTACAACAGAAAAATCTGACAATCAGCCAGTACTTTAAGCAAGTAAAATCACTCTGTTCAAATATTGCTCAACTAGATCCAGATTCTAAAGTATCCGATGCAAGTATGATAAAAGAATAATCCACGGTTTGAGATCGGAATGTCACAGACTAGTTGCTGCTACACGGGTAGTCGACTCAACCAACATTATTAGAGTTGGAGAGTTTGCTCGCTATACAGAAAACCCTAGCCAAACAAATGACCGCGTTTCAATAAAAAGCGAAGATGAAGCACTCTTCAGTAGCAAGGAGAGAGGCAAACCAAGAGGCGAGAGGAAATAGGAGTATGAAAATGCTGGTTCAAGGAGGCAGCCGGACGACCATACACCGACAGAAGACAACAACATGAGAAGCAAGGTGATCGTCGAGTAAGGAGACCTGACAGTAGCTGCTACAGCTGTGGGAAGAAATGACACTTTGCCAGAGATTGTCGCTATAAGAGAAGATCTGTAGAGAGCAATACTACAACATCGTGCAGATGTCAAGATGATGAAGAGGAATGAGATGCCCAAGAGTCCCTAGCCATTATTAAAGATGTACCAGTCGACGAAGACGAGGTTGTTGGTATGACACTAACCTCATTTGTAGAAAAATCCGACTCCACATTTGCATCGGTTTCAGATCGGAAAGAAATCAGTTATAATAAAGATTGGATCGTCGATTCTGGTTGTTCCAACCGCATGATGAGAGATAAGGGGAAGCAAGTTCGACAAAAAGGCTGTAAAGTGTATTTTTGTGGGGTATGACAGTAAAAGAAAATGATAGAGATGTTGTGATCCCACAACCGGACGGTGCTATATATCAATGAATGTTGTATTTGACGAAGCCTCATCTTGGTGGGCTTCACAAGAAGTTGCGCTACTAGATTCTAAAGATCTAGAGGATAGTCTACAAGAGAAGTTGGGGAGGATCAATCGAAGAAGACAAAATCAAGCTGTTCAACATCCTTAAAGGAGAATAATCCATGAAAAACCGGTATTTATTAGACAACGCCAAAAGAAGTGCGCCCAAGCCAGATAGAGGACATCGAAGAAGAACAAGAACAACTTCGAAGATCAACAAGACCCAGAAAGCCGAATCCTAAGTATGCTAATGCTGTCATTATGAAAGATGTGAAAGAGCCATCTACCTTTGAGGAAGCATACGAAATTACTGAATGGAGACGAGCAATGAAGGAAGAAATTCAAGCTCTACAGCAGAACCAAACTTGAGAGTTGGAGCCAAAGCCTAAAGATGTCAAACATATCTTCTGCAAATGAGTTTACAAGGTCAAGACTCGACCGAATGGGTCAATTGAGAAATACAAAGCACGCTTGGTGGCTCGAGGATTCTCGCAACAGTATGGACTAGTTTATGACGAGACATTCGGTCTAGTTGTCAAGATAACAACAGTTTGAGTTCTTCTAGCTCTAGCAGCCAGCAAGAGTTGGAAGTTTTGGTAGATGGAAGTGAAGAATGCATTTCTACACGATGAGGTGGATCGAGAGATTTACATTAAGCAACCTATCGGATTTGAGAGCAAGGAAAAGGAAAGATATGTTTGCAAACTAAAGAAAGCTCCCTATGTACTGAAACAAGCCCGAGAGCTTGGTATGGCAATATTAGTGAGTTCTTAATTCAAAGTGGATACCCTCTTTCTCCTGCAGATTCTAGTTTATTTGTCAAATAGACTGGCAATAGGCTAGCAATCGTGTTGGTATATGTGGATGACTTAATCTTAAGTGGAGATGATGAAGCAAAAATCCAGAGAACGAGGATAAATCTCTCAGTTAGGTTTCAAATGAAGGAGCTTGAGAAGTTTAAGCATTTTCTCGAATTGGAGGTCGACCGAAGGAAGGATGGACTATTCCTTTGTCAAGCAAAATATGCGAAGGACATGCTGCTCAAGTACAGGATGTTCAACTGCAAGTCAATCTCAACACTGATAGAGACAAATCTGAGACTGCGTGCACATGAAGGAAAAGATTTGGAAGATCCAACTATGTATCGACAACTAGTTGGAAGCTTGATCTATTTAACGATGACAAGATCAGATATTTCATTTACAGTTGGTGTCATGAGCTGATACATGCAGAAGCCAAAGAAACCTCACTTAGAAGCAATCCGAAGGATCCTAAGGTACATTAAGGGTACAATTAACTATGGTCTCATATATAAAAAAGGAGAAGAATGTGATGTCTATGGCTATTGTGATGCTGACTATGCTGGAGATCATAACACTCAAAGGTCTACTATCGGATACGTGTTTAGTCTCGGTTCAGCGACTACATCTTGGTGTAGCAAAAGACAGTCAATGATGTCATTGTCAACTATAGAGAAGGAGTATAGATCAGGAACGATGGCAGCTTAGGAAATCACGTGGTTTTTTCAGTTAATGAGAGATCTACATTAGCCCACAGACTACTTAGTAGCTTTACATTATGATAATCGGTCTGCAATACGATTGACAGATAATTCAGTTTTTCATGCTAGGACGAAGCACATCATCTCTTTCTTCGAGAGAAAGTTCTTCAAGAGGAGATCGTAATGAAGCCAATCAGGACAAACGAACAAATAGCTGACATATTCATCAAAGCGCTGAATATTTCAAAGTTCGCAGAATTTCAAAGTCAGTTTGGACTCGTGATAGAGAAGCCGTTGTTGAGGAGTGCTAAAATTCAGCAGCTTCACATCTACCTCCCACCTACCTAGCTACAGTAACACATACACTTAATAGTAATCACTTAACCCTAATAGTTTTTACATACCTCTAAACTAATGTTATAAATAACCCCCCAGTGTTTGTTTGAAATCATCCTAGTAGTAGAGAGATAGAGTATTTGTATTTGAGAGTATAACATGTTTGTACCACTAAAGAAATAATAACAACATATTTATTGGTGTCCACCACTCCTCTCAACTCTACACTCTATAAGTGGTTGTAGAGTTGAGAGGAGTGGTGGACACAAGAAATATTTTGTTATTATTTCTTTAGTAGTACAAACACGCTATACTCAAATACAAATTCTCTCTCTCTCTCTCTCTCTCTCTCTCGCTCTGTTACTGGGATGATTTCAAACAAACAGTTGGGGGTTATTTATAACATTGGTTTAGTTGTAGGTAAATACTATTAGAGTTAGGTGATTACTATTAAGGATAGGTGTTACTGCGGCTAGGTAGGTGGGGGTAGATGTGAAGCTGCTCCAAAAAAACTAGTTCAATTTGGGTTTGACTTATGCCAAACTAAAAACAAGATATTGGACCAGACTTGTAGCACACGAAGTTCTGTGTCGTTGCTAAACACACCCTAAACATGGATTGGGTTTGACATGGCTAGGCTAGATTCCCATCTAGCCCCAGCTTCTAAAAAACAATCAAGAATGCTGATAACCTTAACCTTTTAAGATAGTTTATAAAAACATGTGGAGAGAGCTGGGGTACCTGGTGATTTATTAAGCTGAGTCGGTGAATCTAATCTATGCTTGATATCACACACCAACACAGAAAAGCATATAAAAATCGGCAATAAAGGAAATCTGGCCTCAACTTTACTGCCCATGGGCCATAGAAAACCACTTGATGTAGAAAGACCGCGTCCTCTGAAGTAATTGCCTTAGCTGTCTCAAGTCTGTTGCCAGCCTCCAACTTGGAGCATCCAATACGCTTCCTAATCCCACAACAGTCTTCATATCGTTCTCTGCTATAAGAAGACCAGCGTCTCCTCCTCTTTTTCCTCACTCCTATCACTAGCGTTCTTAATACATTCTCCTCATACATCTAGTCTGCTTGCCCTCTGCTATGGCCCCAATCTTGTTTACTCTATTAGCATGCTCTCTGATAGGCATTGCTTATGCTGGCAACTTCAACAATGACTTCGACATCACTTGGGGCGATGGACGAGGAAGGATCCTCAACAATGGACAGCTCCTCAGTCTGTCCCTTGACAAGACCTCTGGCTCTGGCTTCCAATCCAAGCATGAATACCTTTTCGGCAAGATTGATATGCAGCTCAAGCTAGTTGCGGGGAATTCGGCCGGCACTGTTACAGCTTACTATGTAAGTTCTCAACTAATAGGATTCGCAATCATTGTATACTAACTAGATTATTTAGAACTAATTTTCATGTTGCAAACTTGCATGTATGTTTGCAGCTCTCTTCACAAGGACCTACACATGATGAGATTGACTTCGAGTTCCTTGGAAATCTCAGTGGAGACCCATACACACTGCATACTAATGTATTCACTCAAGGGAAGGGCAACAGAGAGCAGCAGTTCCACCTCTGGTTCGACCCTACCAAGGACTTCCACACCTACTCAATTCTCTGGAACCCAAGTCATATTATGTAAGTGATCTAAAATATTCCAGGCAATCATTTCCTTGTGAATCTCTTTACAATTAACTAAAACAAGATCCGAATGCTCACTGTTTTGGTATCGTTGTTTCAGTTTCTCAGTTGACGGCATCCCAATCAGAGACTTCAAGAATCTGGAATCAAGGGGTGTTGCCTTTCCCAACAACCAGCCCATGAGAA